AACATTTATTAACATTTTATTTTAACATTTTATATAAACCGCGTGGAGCGGTTTACATAGCGTCATATAAGGAACCGCTCGACCAATCAGATTGCTGGAAACTCTTTGCTCAGCTCTAAAATTATACTAATTACTAATAGGAGCCAAACAGCATCTCATAACTGATGAACTGTCACCCTCAAACGGAGAAAGATTTCTCCTAACTAAACAACAGCTTTATGTCAGCAAAGTAAAGAGTAACAAAGCAAAACTAAATGAATGAAATTCATTTCATAAAAAAAAAGTTATGATCAGAACCCTCTAAAATGTGCCGCTTTCCCTACGTGTGGCTTCGTAGCTCAGTTGATAGCAGCACCCAACTAGAATCTGAAAGACACGGGTCCAGATCTCCTCGAAGCCAGTGAATTATTTTCAATCTTCTTTTCTGGAATCACTTTACTTACAGCTCACCTGCGAGGAGAATTGCTCTACTCGAATATTAACCGCACGTCAATTTAAATTTATTTCATTAAAAATTTTGAAAAGCAATGACTTGTCTACATACTTGGGGGTGTAACGCCAACCCGTCCTGAGTTTGTCCTCCCACAGAGCCCAGGCCTTCTGTTTCGTGTCCACATGATACTCATATACTGTATCCTTTGACAAAACAGAGTGCATTACAGTTAATTCCTGTTATGACCAAGGGTGCAATATTTCTCAAAATATAAACTTGGTGCACTGCATAAATTGCTGGAATCTCCATGATTGGCTGAATAAAGTGGGCCAATTACCAAAAGTGCACAATTCCAAGCAGTGATGTCTTCCTGCTTCCTTCCCTAACATTTCATCTTCAAAGTCTACAGAATAAAGGAATTTTCTTTTTCATGGAACACAATTTATTGTTTTTCTTTTCATATTTCTTCCCCTACCCCTTCCCCCCCCCCCTCCATTTTCGTTGAACAAATTATTTTTTCATACTGTTAAAACTACATAGTACCTTTGCAGGGAATTGACCTTCGATTTCTCGAAGGAAATTGTCCATTTTCTTTCTGCTGTCTTCATCCACAGACGCACAAATAGACCAGATCAACGAGAACAAAAACCACAGCTCGATCATGCGAGGATAGCTGTCTTCATGTGGATGAACCTACAAATTAGGAAAAAGAAAAGTAAGACAATGTAAATGGAAATCTCGTGAGTTTTCTCAGTAAATCACAGAGTAAAGTGAAGCAAAACCAACGTAACTTCCGACACTCACTCACGAAAATTATACATGGACGGAGGTAATAAAGATATCAAATAACTCAAATAGTAGGGTGCCATGTCATGCAAGGTGTGGAGGCGCGGTGGCCTCATGGTTAGTGCGCTCGACTCCGGATCGAGTGGTCCAGGTTCGAGCCCCGGCCGGGACACTGTGTTGTGTTCTTAGGCAAGACACTTTACTCTCACAGTGCCTCTCTCCTCCCAGGTGTATAAATGGGTAGCGGCGATTTCATGCTGCGATGGACTAGCATCCCATCCAGGGGGGAATAGAAATACTCCTAGTCGCTTCATGCTACAGAAACCGGAGTTAAGCACCGGCCTAATGGGCCACTAGACTCGTAAACAGACTTTTTATGCCCTGCATGATCGTTAATATAGGATTATTTTATATTCTGTGCGGTTGTAAACAGGTGGCCAGTGCAATTATCGAAGCAAAGGTGTGACATGACATGATTTCGGGGGACAATAAACTCAGCGAGCACTAGCATCCATGACACGTTGCAGTTTGGGCGGTTGCTACCTCACTGAGCACCATTATAATAGTGAAGTGTGGCTAGTGATAAACTACTGTACTAACATTAGGTTGTGAAGGATTAACCTTCCCGTCGCGCATTTGTATTAAATTTAAATTCTATTGTAAATGGTAGAAGTCTCTGAGCCAGTCAAATCTATTGAAACTTACCCCATTCTCTTCTGTAGCTAGTGCGTCATACAAAACACACAATGACACAACAGAGTTCAATTCAGAGGTGGCAACGAGCTCCTTGCAATGGTGTCTACGAAAATCCAACACTTTAGGAACGAACTTCTCAAACAACCTCTGAAGGTGCTCCACGGATTGCTGTAAAAAAATATTGAGTAGAGTTTCTGAGGTAAAGTAACGGGAGATAACTACAAATTGGTCCTTGGACGAATCTACATTTTCGTTGGCGCGAGGAACGGTTTCAGGTTTGAGATGTCGAGAACAAATGATAAATCAATCAAGTCTCCCCGTACACAAAAATATGAGGACAAGAGGACAGTTAGCGAGTCTCAAGTAAAGACAAAAAAAAGTACCTTATCTGTTCTCTTATCTAACCAGCAGTCAACGTAGGGCTGCCACCCGAGATCTTTGTAATCGGAGAAAACCATGCCACATCGACTGACTGTCGCAGGAGATGCCACAGCAAGATCTTCTACCTCAAACAGTAAGGAAACCTGAAAGAAAGAAATAAACTATCAATTGCTGACTTCAACAAATTCCTCTCAGATGATAATCTACTAAATCATACATAATGCAAGAATACTTAGACAACGTCTTCCCAAACTTGGCAGCTTTTATTGAGTTTTTCAAAGCCAAAACCATAGTGATATACTATATGCCGCAAAAGCCACAGGCGTCAAATCCACTAAAGAGAATTGGTTGAAGACAGTGCAGTGTCAACCGCCGATCATGGCTGAGAAATATATTGGTGAGATCCAATGAGAACTCAGGCTGAATACATGCAAACTACCACAAGCGCAGAAAAACGCGAGTGGCCTAGTCGCGACTGAATTTGGTTTAGCATCTGATTGGTTCTGCTCCAATCACAGAGCAACGAAGGAACCCAACCAATAGGAACCCGCCGCCCTGTTAGCCCAATGGATAGTGCGCTGGACTGTTGTGCGGGAGGTCGAGGGTTCGAGCCCCGGCCGGACCAACACTCAAGGTCTTAAAATAATTGAGAAGAATTTGCTACCTTTCTATAACATCAAGAAATGGTTAGATACTCTAGTCTTCTCGGATAGGGACGAATAAATGGAGGTCCCGTCTCCTGCAGGGTTGGGGGTAGGAGACGTTAATTTCCCACACACGAGATTACTGTGTGATGGATGTCCTCCCCTGAGGTGGGATGGGTGGGTTTATTGGGCCCGCAGTAAATGGCGCAAGCTGTTGCGGTGTCCCTGCCTGTCGGCGAATCTAATAAATAAATAAATACAATCCTAGATTTCTCTTGAAAAGCTGACAGAAAAGATCTATTCGAATTAACAAGGCATCTAACCTGATCAGGCATGGCTATACGCTCGCCATTTATAAGAGTCAGCACTTTGTTGTCGTCCATAACTGAGTTCATGGACTCAATCCACAGCGTATCCACGGGAGCGTCAAAGAGAATCCACTTCTCATCTGGTCTCTCATCTAAAAAACACAAAATGCGAGAAGGGAATTCTAATCCATTCGTAGTTTTCTCCATTCTCACTCTTTCTTAGTTTATCACGACTCTCTTGTGTGTGTGTGCTGTTTCTTTATCTCGCTGAACTTATTTGACGAAGATTTTACCGTCACTTTAGGGAAAAAAAGGGTTCCTGGGAGGTTATACATGTTTTTACATGTCCTGCTAGAAATAAAGTTAAAAATCATTTGTCCCGCTCAACGTTTCTAGTGCTTTTTTAAATTATTTTTTATGTTTCCTGCTTCTTGTGTAAGCTTTCTTGTTGAATAAGTTTCCTATCTTCCACATTGTGCATGCGTCAAACCGTTTCCAATGACTTGCGTCACAATCAAACGATTCACGCTCGTGCACATGACATCAGAAAATTCAAAAACATCCGCGCATGTGCAAACGTTGTAATGACTAGGTGGCGATGTTTTTAGGATTCCATGATCAAGTTGTCGCACACGAGTTACAAACAACTACACAGGCAAGTAACGTATATGTGCAAAATCCTCGCAGTAAAGCACTATCTAAGCAATAGTGAAAATCAGACCTGAAAAAATTCAGGCCTGTACGGGATTCGAACCACTGACCTCTGCGATACTAGTGCCGCGCTCTACCACTTTTTTCACTATTGCTTAGATAGTGCTTTACTGCGAGGATCGTGCAAACATACGTTTCATAACCGCAGTTCAGATATATGTATTTCATATATTCGTTGTACAAGCAAGTAAGTTACGGTGTTTTAGAAGCACATAACTCCTTAGTTAAAGCTCAAAACAGAATGGCAAATCAACAGGATGCCCCTACTTAAATAAACTTTGAGTACGAAAAGTCTGCAGTCTTTCTTTACCTTACTTTTGACTTCTTTTGCAGATTTCCCCAAACGAATTAATTTTCTTTCGCTTATTTTGCGAGAAAGCAGTTGTTTCCTTAGCCAATTTTTGCGCCTTAAGGCTAGCCCCATTTAGATCCTCTATTGTAGTAGTAGCGAAACACTGAGAGAAAGACATGGAAGAAAATCAAGCTTCGTCGATCGTTGTTCACGTGCAACAATTGTGAGGTGGCAGTCAATACCGGTGTTACTTACCTGAGCATGTGAGTCTCATAACACTGGACAGTACTCCGTCAGTCCACTCATTAGTGTTTAGATCAAACTCTCCGTAAAGTTCACCCAGGGACAGGGCTTTGGGGTTAATGGGAAATTCCTGGAGAATTAAAAAATATCAAATAAAATGGAAAAAACAATTGAACAAGCATTTTAACGTAAAGTAGAAGTATGGGGTTTCAGTGAAGGTGAATAGCAAAAGATTATTCAAAGTTTGAGTAGCCAGTCAGGGCGCACCTTCGATACCATCCACTGTTTCAGTATATACTAATGAGACTTATCATTCACTCACGAAGATGTACACGCGTGGCCATGTGATATCCTTTCTTCATCATACTTCTACTGTATTCAACGATAAGAAAGGTTTGCTCACCTTGACAATGTTAAAGTTTGAGTCGCCATCTCTCTTCAGTCGCGTCATAGCCGCTTGCAAAATCTTCCAGCAAACACTTTTTCCTGATCCTGTCTGGCCGACTAACATGGTAGAATGTCTTAAAAGGAACAATATATTTGTTTAACCCTTACTTTCGTATTCATACTGCTTCATTATTTTGTAAATTGAACATCTTGGGTATCTTTAAGATTAATTATTTTTACATTTCGTAATTTATATTTTCCTATCATCAAAGTTTATTTCCACCGTCATTTCTTAATGTATTTGTCACCAATAACCTAATGCAGTCGTCCAACACCAGAAGAGGCACTGATTACAATCAAAGTCGAAACAATGTGAAATATTTCAGTTTCTGTCTAATTTTTTGAAGGAACAAAAATTTGAAATTCCTTACAATGCACTATCATATGTATCATAAGCTACTGTCGACGGAGTGCGGTCGTTTCGATACAAACTGAAGTCGTATCGATATGTCGACAAAGTTTATTCGATACACGGGGAAAGTCATCTCGATATAATTTCAGTCAGTTCATGCAAACTTGAATTTCATATGTCGATAGCGTTTAAGCAATTAATTTTTGTCTTTAAAAATACAAAAAGTAATTCCCTAAACCTTATCAACATATGATGACCAACGTAACGTAAAAATGACAAAAGCCTGAACTAGCTACAAACAAGATGACTCTGTTTGCCAAGAAAGAAAACGAACAAAAAGATAGTGATATGTCCAACAAAAAAGAAGGAAAGCTAGTGATGAATAAGACTTAGGGTTACCGTTGCACCTTCAGGGGTGTCTCACGTGCAAGCGATGTAGCGCGTCCGGTTTAAACTGTAGATATCTAAACCCCATATCAAATTAAAGCTTATGGGACTGGCTATCAGACTATACCTGAAATTTTGAAAAAAATATGAACTGTCGAATTTTTCACGACTTCTAAATGCGAGCGCCCCAATCACCTTTCAAGAGCTACAAGTCAAAGGGGAATTTGTTCGATTGCTCTCAAATTTTGACAGTAGCTAGTTTTACATATAAACAACAAAAACGCGTCTCCGAATATTTTATTTCTAAATACGTTTTTTCAAGAGCGATTTTTGTACGATCACTCCACATTTTTTTAATCCTATTTCAAAAATGTTCTGTAAATTTTCACTGAAATTGAATATGGCAAATCGCAGACAAGTTTTTTAGCGTTTTGGTCCCGGAGACGGAGGAACACATTAAATAAGCGAAAAACAACATTCGCTTTAACATGTAACGTTCAAAAGGTGATTCGGGCGCTCGCATTTAGAAGACGTGAAAAATTCGACAATTCATTTTTTTTTTCAAAATTTTTGGTATAGTCTGATAGCCAGTCCTAAAAGCTTTAATTTGATATAGGGGTTTAGATATCTACAGTTTAAACCGGACGCGCTACATCGCTTGCACCCGAGACACCCCTGAAGGTGCACGGTAACCTTAGTGCAAAGCTTAAAAAAGTTATAGAAATCCCTGAGATTGTGACCTGAACGAGAACCTTAACAAAGAAAAAAGTCAGCCGCAGAAAGTAGTAATACACTACAACATGAAACACACCTGGAGTTTTTTGTCTCGTATAGCTGAATCACCTTCAGAATGGTTGACGGGTGTGGTTTGAGGCCTGCGTCTTTGACATCTTTTTCAATAGCAGTGCGTAACTGGAAAGTAAATAAACATTTAACAAGTTATTATCAGCAGTTTTTCGTCACCTTTAGATAATAAGTTACTATGAAATAAATTTAAAGACATGATAACTGCGTGTGTATACTTATTTGACCACTCCCCCTATGGGGCTTTTGAGGGCCAATGCAAACAAATTGGAAACTTTGAAAATAAATGTAACGTTTTAAAAACAACAACTGGAGGCAGACTAGTTGGCTATGTACAAAGTGCGGCCATGGAGTTGAACTTGTTGATTGCAATATGTCATCGTTAGTTTTTCCCTACCCGCGCCGTTCTGAATTACTTTTCATATTATGGTCTAGACCATGTGTTCGCAAGTTTCTTGTTTGCGTTTCGTTTTGTCACGTTTCCACTGGGCCTACAATTCTCGTAAGTAAAGTGTCGCTTCGTTTTGTTTCGTTTAGTTTCCTTTATTCAAATCTTACTGTTTTCCTATTTTAGTCCAACCAGATCATACTAATCAGATAACACAGATTATACATGTTAATCAGAGTATACAGATAAAGTGGAAAATTTACCAACTGAACCCGCAACAATCGAGAACAAATAAGTGACTAGCAAGGTAATGATAATTAAACCTGGACCCCCCCCAGATTAGAAGCCCGGGGCCCCGACCGCTCGACCATACTGCCTCTCACATTTAAGTCCAAAAAAGATCGATGTTTGCACTGGGTGAGTTCTGTGAAAAAATGGAAGGGTTGGATTTAACTTTTAACGATGAGTTACCTTGCCATAGTCAATCGTGGGCGTCTCGACTCCAGGAAACAGATCAGACACGATTCCATTAAACAAAGGCAGATCCTGTGAGGTCAGCTTGGCTACATTCATATCTTTCATGGACAGAAGGAGAATCTGATGAAAGTCAAAACGGCGATTAATAAAACATTGTATCTTCTATTTTCTACGGAATTGTTGCCATAGGGCGGTTAGTCGAAGAGTTAATGTAAGAATCCACAGGGCCCGGTTGTTCGAAAGGCGCGAGGGATAATTAAGTATTAAAATTTTAAAGTTTTCTTGATTTCTCTTGAAATAATTATATCTTATTAGACGTTTTGTTGTGTAGTATCGCTGAGTATTTTTACGAGTTGTGCCGTATTTTGACGAGCCCGTAGGGCGAGTCAAAATACAAATAACGAGTAAAATACTCAGTGATACTACACAACAAAACGTCTAATAAGAGATTTATTATCCAACACGCCAAATCGTTATTTCAGTGCGAGTGAATTTTGCGGATATTTCTGGAGTACAAATATCGCGTGATATTTGTACTCGTCTCGCGCGATGATTCTACTCTACGAAGCTCAGTTGGATAATAAAGCAGCGGACAATAGGGCTTACGTTTTGAGGGGTTCTACCTAAAAGCGTAGGACGAAACTGAAGAAAAAATAGAAATCATTAAAACTCTTCGCAAGGCTACAAAACTAAATCAAAAATTGTTGGCTAATCCTCGGTTAGCTTCATCGTGCTTTGAACAACGTACCCCTGAAGTATTACCCCTTTGTCGATTTTTCCAACGTTCATTCTAATCATGTTCCACAAGTTTTCAAAAACGGTTTTATTGCGTTGATGTCATTCCACTTTAACGAAGAATTGGCAAAGGGAAACTGGATAAAAGTGGTGGAAAGACGTTTGGCCAGTGTGTTACTAACGCCGAAAAGCCGGAAAATATGTCCTTCATTGCATCACCTATAAAAAGTGTACTCTGAATGGCAAATATCTATTTACCTCTTCATCAGACATATCAGGGTTCGCTCTCTTCTTTTTACCAGCATATCTCAACACAGATGTCAGAGCCCTCAGACCAAAGTCATAATGATCCTGTTTGGAGAGCTGCTGTACCGCCAAGGAGTACAGCGTGTGAACCTTCCTGGCAAGCACCTGTTAAAAAGCAAAATTGATACATTTCTTCTGCATCCTATCTTTACGACATGAACAAAAAAACGTTGGTGGCTTTTGTAAACAAACTTCATTTTTGACTCGGTGTTCGACAAAAACCTTAATCCGTAATCTTCCCTGACTCTATTTTTGCCGACCTAACCCATATCATCAACACAAATTAAAGAAAACACTCTCGGGCGAAAGCAGACTCAAAAAAGTATTCCCAAAAAAACGCATTTTTAAGATGAGGTAAATCTACTTGGCGTAATGGTTCTGCAACGTTATCAGAATGAAATGCTTCGTCCTTTTTTCCAGATTTTTGTCATTCAAACTCAAAACTGTCAGTTGAAGCGTCAGACATATTTTCAGCGGAAGACTATGGGAAAAAGAAAGGAGGTCATTCTACATCTGAAAACAAATATCTTCGATGCCATAAAACTGACCTTTGTGTTGTTAAAACCCTCGGCAAACAGGATAATTTCTGCAATCATGGCTGAATCGGGTACAACCATTGATATCGGTCTAAACATGCTTTTCAAGTTGTCTGGAAGCTCAGTTCGACCAGCATAGCCTGTGGGAAAAAAAATGCTAAGCTCACTAATACACAATAAATAGCTCACTAACATAAGAAATGTGATGTGATACATACATACATACATACATACGTTAGTTGACCACTCCCCATGGGGGCTTTTCAGGGCCAATTCCCACCCATCCCACCCCAAGGGAGGACATCCACAACACAGTATTCTCGTGCGTGGGAAATTAACGTCTCCTACCCCTAACCCTGCAGAAGACGGGGCCTACGGTTTATTAGTCCTTATCCGAGAAGACTAGAATATCTATCCATTTCTTGATTATAGAAAGGTAGCAAATTCTCCTCAGTTATTTTAAGGCCATGAGTATCGGTCCGGCCGGGGCTCAAACCCTCGACCTCCCGCACAACACAATCCGGCGCTCTAACCAATTGAGCTAACCGGGAGGAGGTTAGTTGAAGCGGTTAGTTGTGATGACAACAAATGTGCACCGCACTTCGTCATCTGCTTAATGAGATGACTATATCTAGTGAACGAGTAACAAAATAAAGAAAATATGAAAAACGAAATGAAAGAAACATATGAAAGAGTGAAAAGAGGAGTTGCAGTACAGCAAAAAGATCTCTCTTTGGGTTAAAAAAAAAAACAAACAGAACAAAAAAACGACAGAATAATACTTTAATATCCTTCTGTTGGTTTGTTGTTTTGTTTTATTTTTTCTGTCTTTTCGTTTTTTTTTTTCTTAAAGAGGAAGTTTCAAGAAAGACTTTTTTATGAGCCACAAGCGGAGACCGACCGTAGAGGGGGAAAAGGGAGGTTTCACCATGCCACGCAATATCCACATTTCCCCTGAGTCAAGGTTTGAAAGCCAATCTGATTCGTATGTACGAAAAAAAAAATACAGTCGTCTTCTTTTCGCTTTCTCTAGCTAAAAAAAACGAGTCTGCACTGCAAAGACCTGCATAAAAGAAAATGTTCCAGTCTCGCCAAAAAAAAAACCCCAAGAAGTCAAATTTAGGAGACAGAATCACCATGCAAATGTCGAAGAAAGGCGTTGAATTTACTGAGCAAAGACACGAAAGTCACAGTGATATAATGGTGGACGACGATTGTAACGTAACAGGAGAAATTTTATTTTACCAGGATTCATAGTAATGAAGATTCCACACGACCAGACCAAGTTAATCTCACGTCCCTCAAACACAAATCGTGTAGCACCAGCCGACAGAGCAGACAGAATGGACAGAATCTGCTGCGCCACTACAGACAATACTTCAATGTTGATGCGGTTGAACTCGTCAAAGCAGCCCCACGCTCCAGTCTACATACGAAATAAAAACATGAAGAAGGTTACGTAGTAATTTATACTGGCAGTTTGGCAATTTGCCTCATTTCAGCAAATGGGTAATGAATGGCTAAAGTTTTTGAAACGCAGGCTCGGCTTCACGCAACGAAACTTAGTTATCAGGCGCTTTGATATCAGAGGCGCGTCCTTATCCAATTTATGATAAACCCCAGCACATCAAAAATTGGAAATTCGGAAGTGGGAAGACAGCACCAGTCATCATGTTGTGTAACCCCAATGAACTCTACCTGAGCCAGTCCACTGTACATACGCCCCATAGACTTATAGTCCAAACCCTCTGAACAATTGACCACAATGACGTAGTTTCCTAGAGCTTTCCCGAGATCCTTGACGGTCTCGGTCTTTCCTGTCCCAGCAGGTCCTTTGGGGCTACCACCACGGTGAAGATGGAGTGCGGTTGTCAGAGTCATGTAACATCTGTGGGAAGGAAAAAAAGACGCAAACTGAAAACAACCAAACTGTCTGAAGCGTGAAAAAAAAAAAAAAAAAAAAAAAAACCAGTGACCAAATAACGCTTGGTTTTCGCTCTAAACTGACTGGCGCAACCACATAGCAATTGAAAGTTGTTCTATGTTTGGAGTAAAACCTTGAGGGGGAGATTTAGTCTTTCGGGTTGTTTCTTTCTCTCTGAATTAATCATATAAGCGCTACAAATACTATGTTCTTCTGACCTGTCTGTGAGGGGCGTGATCACAAGCCGTCCAGAATTTCCCAAATATTCATAACCATATTGAAATCGAGTGTTCGTTTGCCGCACCACGCAGTCATCGATGTCCTAAATAGTAATAATAATAATTTAAAAAAGTAGAATTAAGATTAAGTTTAAAGTAATGACGGCCTGTGCACTAACTCGCCCAGTATTCTTGATGAATCTTTACGGTTCTTCTTTTCACGTCTGGCGTTAAAGACCTTTCGAAGGATTTATTTACAGCCATACTTTGTGATCAACTGGATACATTCATTAACTCTTAATTGAAGGAGCTTCAGACTCTAGGAAAATTGATTTTTTTTTTTAACCATGGACAGAAGCTAGTGCTAAATAGAGAGCTTCTGGGGCTGTGTCAAAGGTACTTAGTCCACTAGGAAAACTAATCAGGAAGAAAGCAGTTGGTAATACTTTATTTCATGCAAACCTTGTCCCAATACAGCCTCAGCTGGCTGAGCCACTCAAACGCCGTCACGTCGCCACACCCTGATTTGATCATCTTCTCGATCACATCCCTGGCATGAACCTCTATAGTGACGAGAGCAACAATCTTCTGCCGCTGGATCTTAGTCAAATTGCCACGAATCATTTCAGAGAATTTGTTCAGCATGGAGATCTACAAGAAAAGGTTGGTGTCGATCATAATTCGGATGATGCTCGGGGGGAGGGGGGGAAGTGAGATGACGAGATTAATGATGTGGGGAATATATGTCGCAGTGTCAAGCAAACAGTTGAAGATTGCAAAGTTTGGGCTGCTCTGCTGCTAGTATTTGCCTGACGATAACAAGGCCTACGGTTCTTTGTTTTAAATAGAGAGGACTACGACATCTGAGCATTCGGAGATTTCATTGGAAAAGCGGCATATTCTCCTCAGCTACAGTGCATTTCAATTGTGTGCCGAAACCGAAGTTATCACTGGGAACCAGTGAGAAATTAGAGTAAAAACTAGCAAACTGTTTGAAGCACGGGAATAGCGAATGACCAAGTCTCAAAAACAGAACTCACATTGTTCATATAAAGTTATTACCTGCTTCTTCTTAAGACTCTTCAAAGCTTTCTTGTCGCCTCTCTCTTTAGTGCTGGCCAACGCTTTGGTGCAATCACCTGTCCACTGCATCTGACTTGAAGTGATGGTCAACTGCAACGATTTTCAAAGAAACCTCAGTATCAAAGTGCTAAACATTTATTTCATGTTCATGTAGAGGAATTATGAGATTAAGGTGCTTTCCCTAGGACTTGGACACAATAAGGCACTGTGTCCCTTTGATCTTTACCGCTCTTACATGAGCATGTATAGAAGCATCTGTAAATCTGCAATCATCGTACTTCTAACAAGATCTTATTACCTGCCCCGCCCATTCTTTCACCCATTTGTCACGCTTGCTGGTGTTCTTCTTCAACGCGAGCCTGCACTGCTTCAGCAGCTCCTTTAGAGTCCAGCGCATGCTCCGTTCCACGTCACACAGCCACGCCTAATGAGGAAGAAGATATCAGTTATATCTGTAGATGAACAGACACGGTTGATTCCGTTGGATTAAGGGGTTCCCTTCCCTTGATTTCATCTGCACGCCAGTGCACTGGTATCAGATTAAATATTGCACTCTTTGATTAAAGAGACTTACATCCCATTCACACCAGAAAACTTGTTTAGTTAAACCAGGTTTAACTAAATAAAAATCAGAAGCAGAGAACTGAAAAACTAAATTTTCCACGAGATTCAAGCAATTGCTAAATTGTATTTTCAATGTGCCACATTTGAAGTCAACCAAATACTGATTTGAGCAGCTTCTATGGAGCTGTTGTGTTAAACCATGTTTAAGAAAACAGCTTTAAAGCATGTTTAGGCTTTGGTGTGAATGGGGTATTAGACTAGGTGCATCTTAATGATTCAAAACGTTGCATTAGGCGGGCCAACAAAAACTGATTACCAGTTTTTCGTGTTCTCTGAACACTAATAACTCGAAACTGCGACACCTTACAGGTGGCATGCGTGTTGAGAGAAAATGAATCTTTCGATACCAAACACCATCTTGTACGGCTAAGTACTCTTTCACAGTTTTTTCTTTGAAAATCTTTCCTTAGCAGTGTAAATGAAAAATTGTGACAAGCTTCTTCCTTGATGTGTGACTCATCAACGAAAAAAACAAATGCACAGAATGGATGTATCTTTGTAGATAACCTGAACTGCTCAGGGCCATGGAAAGTTGTACAGAGTTTAGGGAACTTCCCCTCCGACAAGGTTTCCCTATGCGGCGTTGTACATAGCGCAAAATGACTCGTGACAGGTGAAATTCTCGAGAAAACATTGAAGCACACGTTCGGTTCACACCTCAACTGGTCCTTCGAGCAGAACAGAATGTCCAAACTCCACAAATTCTCCTTCTGCCGAATACATTCCAATTGCTTCTGTCTTTTGTGTGATACCCATCTGTTGAAGCGGACAAGCAAAAAAACTCAGACTCAAAATTGGGTATCACGAGGGTCACAGAGTAAGGGTTCTTTTTTGATCAGTTGGCCACGATCGTAAATAATGACAAAAACAAGGTCTTAATTGGTTTTTTTCTTCTAACCTTTGCCATCTTCAGTGATCTGATGTTGTCAAAGCATTTTTTTAAGTGAGGTTGAACCTGTAAAATGACATGAAAGATTGTGAAATACAAGTCGGGCCAGCATGATAAATCGATCCGGTTAAATGTCTCAACAATGCTACTCACAGCTTCAGGGTTTTTAGATTGTCCCAGTATTTCCAGAAGATCGTCATTAGACAAGAAGTAGAAGCGAGGGAAAATCTGCCTTTTCGTTTCCAAGTACATGTCCAGTGACTTCTGAATCTCTTCTAGTTTTAGATTCATGTCGTTGAGTGTATCGAGCAAACCTGTAAAGAGAATGAAAAACGTTTATGAGAAACAACGCGAAGGTTAATCTGCCTAATGCCAGGAGCCTCACAATATCCGACGTTCTTTGAAATGAAACGGGTAGAAAAGTATATTTTGAAAACAGAACACTTTACCTGGATGATGAGTGCCTCTCAACGCATTATTATCTTTGTTAAGTCTTTGCATGATCACCTTTTAGAAAAAGAAAGAATATAAAGACTTCTTTAAACCGGTAGGCATTCCCCCAACACCTATAACCAAGGTAGCGGGTCACAGTTATGATCTGCATTTCCGCGTACCTCACGTGAATTAGCTTAAGCCGCTACTCTGCCTAGTCTATCAGCGGGCTCGTATTTATGTTAAGGGACCATCTTTGCTAAGCTCCAGTATTTAACACCCGCCACCACCCCACCTTGCTACGACGCAGTATTTATCAAACTGCCAAACCTTCCAGTTCGCGTTCACATCATCAAATTCTGCTGACTCTCTCGGAAGTTGTTTACGGATGTCCTCGCCGAGGAAAATGTTCTGCGTAAACGAAAGGGACGTGGTTAAAAGTTATGCAGGCATTTTGCAGGTTTCCCGCAAAAGATCAGAATGGACTGCATAAAATAAATGGGATCTATGTCAGTGGCAGAGCAACCGGCACCCACACGAACCCAAACTTGTTATCAATTGAAGTTATTGTGTTATGGGAGGGGTAGGTGCGCAATTGCTCAGATGCTAACAGTGATCCAATATATGCATTCAGTGAATGAGTTGTCAATTTGGATTTAAAGCCAAGTCAAATAAGAAAATTGAAATAAGATCCTGGCCCGTAATTTAACAGACTGGGTTAAAATGAAGTATGGTGTTGATCAAGAGATTTCTACGAAAAGTGCAGTGCAACTTGAGAAACACAAAATCACTTCGACTTTCCTTTCCAATCCCAGAATAACAGCCCAACCATAATAGTCCTTTTTACAGTTGTGGGCTTGGTGGCCAAGCCTTTGAACAGGAGTGAGGCTAAGGGTGACCTTGTTATGATAGAGATGTTGCTGCTTTTCAAATGCAAATTACTTTGTTATCATGCTAACTAGGTACTGGTCTCTATCACAACAGGGTCACCCTTAGCCTCACTCCTGTTCAACGGCTTGGCCACCAAGCCCACAACTGCAAAAAGGACTATTGGAGGCATTCAAGAAAACAATTTTATAACACCAATTTTATAAATTATGTGTGCTAAAGTGGCACGAAAGGCAGCTCTCACATATTCTACCTCTTATCTTCAATCTGAAAAGGGGTTTTAAACTTTTTAACGATCTCGTATTCCAATCGATTGCAAGTTGACTTTACTCAGTATTTCAGAATTATTTAAACATTTTCCTCGGGTGATAGCGTCAAGAGCTAACATCTCATTTACACCTCAATAAAGTTATCAATACCACGAGATGAATGCTTCCATACCTCCAAGTACATCCACTGTCGCTGGACGGTGAGTATCGTTTCTGTGACTTCCAGAATAAGAGACAGAGTTCTTTCCCATTTGTCCACCTGTTCATAAGAAAAAGCGATAGAACCATATTCTGATCACAAATAAACGAAATAACTATTAAGACAGTTCGCGGATTCACTTCCAATACAACGCACAGCTCCTGGGCAGTTAATAATAATTTAATAATAATAATAGTTTAATATTTATATTGCGCAAATTAACATGTGGATATGATCAAATGCGCATCACAACACTTTTCGGGG